GGGAAGGCGGGGGAAGAAGAGCGGTGCAAGATGAGGCTGTCAGGGAGGCAGAGGATCCATATCATGAAGGCACTTGAAGGTCCTGGTGAGGACCTGAGCTTTTATCCCAAGTGTAATCAATGGCTGTGAAGGGTTTTGAGCAGGGGAGTGAATGACATGTTTCGATCCATATTTGAAGAACACTCTGGGGCTTCCCTGGTGGCGCAGTGGTTGAGAGTCTGCCTGCCGATGCAGGGGACACGGGTTCGTGCCGCGGAGCGGCTGGGCCCGTGAGCCATGGCCGCTGAGCCTGCGCGTCCGGAGCCTGTGCTCCGCAACGGGAGAGGCCACAACAGTGAGAGGCAAAAAAAAAAAAAAAAAAAAAAAAAAAAAAGAACACTGGCAGCCATGTGGAGATTGAATGCAGGAGGGGTGAGAAGGCAGTGAAAAGACAGCCAGTGACTCTCCCAATGGTCTAAGTAAAAAACGATGGTCTCCCAGACCATGAGGTTGGCAGAAGAGATGAAGTGTCAGTTTCAAGCTATGTTTAGAGCGCGACCGATGGAATCTAATGTTATATTACGTACGGGAGCAAGAGAGAGGAGAGGGGGTCAAAGAAGGCTTCTGGTTTCTGATTAGGGCAGCTGGGCACGTGGTCTGATATCTGGGCGCTGATAAGACAAGCAGACAATAATCAGTACATTTCCCAAAGTCTGAGTTACTTGGTCTTAAATATTCCACCTAAGAAGCATCAGCAGCCTGGGCCGGGGACAGGCTCAGGCTAAACTCTTTTCAGTTTGTCTTTTTAAAACCTCCAACCTGGCAATCAAGTCTCACCCATGACCACCCCATTACATCAGTTTTAACAAAAGGTTAATTCTGCATCGGACTTCCTCTTTAAGCAATTACCAGAATAAGCCAGTAATAAATTTTATACATTCATTCATTCATTTATTCAAGAGAGAAAACAGTTTAATATAATGACTGAGAGTAGGGCATCTGGGTTGAAATCCCACCTCTGCCACTTAGTAGTGGAGGGGCTTTGGGCAACTTTCCTAGCCTCTCTCTCTGTGACTCAACTGAGTCACAGAGTCCTTATCTGTGAAATAGAGATAATATTAGTATCTACCTCAAAGAGCTATCATAAGGCATAAGTAAATTAATTACATGTATTTTTCAAACAGAGCTTGACACAGTATAAGTACTCAGGTGGTGTTAAAAATTGCCACTGCTCTTCATTAATTCAAGTTTTACTGAAAACTGCCCACTGCCTTATGCTGCTCGGCAAAGTAGAAAGCCGGGCAGATTTTTTTTGAATCAGGTAGATTTGACCTCAAGCCTCTGCCCTCCTACTTAACTAACCTCTCCGAACCCAAGTTTTCTTATCTATATTATGAGGGCAATAATACCTACCTTGAGTGGTTATTGTGAGGATGAAATCAGAAATCTTTGTGCAGGGTCTTGTATATAACGGATGCTCAGTGAACATGAGGTTCTTTCCCTGCTCAAAAGAAGTTTCCCCACTTTATTTATTTTTTTTAAATTTTGTAATAGATCTTTATTGGAGTATAATTGCTTCGCAATACTGCATTAGTTTCTGTTGTACAACAAAGTGAACCAGCCACATGCGTACATATATCCCCATATCCCCTCCTTCTTGAACCTCCCTTCCACCCTCCCTATCCCACCTCTGTAAGTCATCACAAAGCACTGAGCTGATCTCCCTGTGCTATGCGGCTGCTTCCCACTAGCTAACTGTTTTACATTCGGTAGTGTATATATGTCGATGCTACTCTCACTTCGCCCCAGCTTCCCCCTCCCCGCCCCCCACTGTGTCTGGTCTTTGTTGTGGCATGCAGGATCTTCACTGAGGCATGAGGAATTCTCTCTAGTTGTGGCGTACAGGTTTTCTCTCTCTAGTTGTGGCACGTGGGCTCCAGAGCGTGTGGGCTCTGTAGCTTGTGGCACGTGGGCTCTCTAGTTGAGGTGCATGAGCTCAGTAGTTGTGGCACGAGAGATTAGTTGCCTTGAGGCATGTGGGATCTTAGTTCCCCGACCAGGGATCGAACCTGCGTCCCCTGCATCGGAAGGCAGATTCTTTTACCACTGGACCACCAGGGAAGTCCCTAGGGTGTTGCCCCTTTTATTGACTTTCTATTGCCATGCAATTTCACAACTCTGTAGGCCTAGAAGATAACATGTAGAAAATTGATAGCAGTCCTCACTTAATTTAAATTGTGCATCTCCACCCTCTGCCCCTAAAGAAACCCCAGAGTGAGGAGGGTAATTTCAAATGCTTTATGGGCTTATTCATGAATGAAGTTCATATTCTTTTCCAGAAACTACACTTTCTTGCCCTTTTCAGCACAGTATGAAGCTATTTAATTGACGGGAACATGAACGTGGACATTTTACATCTCTGAGGGAATGGTCCACAAAGATTCTAATTGGTCCCTGAACCTTCACGTTTCCCACTGCTATCGGACCCTTTCCCAATACCATAACCCACTTCCTCTTCCTGCCCCACTACCACCTTGAGCAATCAAAGTAAGAAAACATGGGCACCAGCCCACAGAAAACACTCTTGGTCGTCCTAGAAAGCATAGATTGCCTGGGTCTTTATTTTCAAAGCTGACTACATGGTTTTCTCTGGCACAGCTCTTCTGGTGGCAGCTTGCTCCAGACGCCTGCCCTTCCTGCCTGCGGTCCTTGTGGTGGCCTTGCCCTGGGTTCTTAGTACCCACCTTTTTCTGGCTCACATGAGCCCTTTGCATCTTGATATAAAGTTGCCTAAGAAGACAAGTCTTAAGCCTCGTTTCCAACGTAGAATGAAAACTTTGTCCTGTTCAGGGAATGGAAATTTTTCACCTGCACCTGGAGATTCCTGAAGTGTCCTTTCCCTCGATCGTTGAAATCTCAGTTATTCTACACTGTGGCCGACCCTAAATGGATAATTTACTAGAAAGACTTACCTGCTGATAGGGTTTTGGGGGACTGTTTGGGCAATATAGACTATCCACAAAGATAAGAAGACTAAAGCATGTGACTATCAACAGCAAAATAGAAAATGCTCTAATAAGACTAACAGGGTGTCTTTGGGTTTCAGGGAACAGATCCGTCAAGGCCTAGAAGAACTCCAGAAGGTTCTGCCAGGAGGAGACACTTACATGCATGAAGGATTTGAAAGGGTAATTTTAAAAGAGTTTTAAACTCCGAAAGAAGATTGTGATGTGGAAACATCAACACAGGCATGGCTGATGAGATGAGACACACATATTAAAGGAACTGAATAACACCCAATGGCAAGAGTGAAAACAATTTTCCATAAGTGTGTACACGATAACTCCATCCAAAAGAGCCGAATAAATGAAATTCCTTCCTCCTTCCCTGACACTGATGAAGGGTCTCTTAGCTAATGCTTGGCCAGAACTCAGGAATCATGCCACACACAAGTCCTCTCTATTCCCAAGGTAACCTTTTCTATATATTTCTTCAGAGGTTGAGACAGAATTGCAATGACTTCAGGCTTAAGCAAAACAAGTCCCAGTCTATGAGAGGAAAGATATTGATCCAGGGTAACTTCAGAAAACATCATCCATTGATATTTGAGTGAAACCTGGGTGAATTACATAAAGAATCAAGACTGACCCAAGACTGTGGATCCAACACTAGAGATCACTGCCCGCTATGGCGTTTGTAGTAGCAAACAGTGGCTATATGTCTAATGGCTCTTTCATATGTTTTTCAGGCCAGTGAGCAGATTTATTATGAAAACAGTCAAGGTAAGAGTATATTCCTAATTACCATTATGAATTTTTTAACTTTTTTCTGTGTTTCCTTCTGAAAAAGTGCCTCAGTAATTTCACGTTTGAAAAGACACAGGAGATTGCCTCTAATCCTTAAACACACACTTCATCACAGAGAAGGAATGCATAGAAAGATGGCACGAATGAGGTCAAATTCTACTGTCCTGAAGATGCCCCCCCCAAAAAAAGTTATGCAAAAGTAATTAAGATCTCATTATGGGCTACAGTCTGTAATGCTCATGAACAGTTTTGCATGTTGAATTCATTAAGTTAATAAGTACTTGGAGGGGTTAGTAAAGTCTTAGATTTTTATGTCAAATTTAATTTTCTTGTCCTTCTCTGAGCTCCAAGCCTCTTCATCGCTGTGACGATTTTAGATTAAGATACCAGTTTGGCTTAAACTTTCCTTCATTTAAGTGGAAAAAAAAGGAATAAAATGTACTTAATAGCATGCTTAGCACAGAGAAATAATATTTATTATTATTATCATTTTAGCTATTATTACTATTACTACCCTGTCTTTCATGGGTAGCATTTCTTTATCTGAAGCAAATCTCTTAAAAGACATTCAGTATTAGAGTGGGGATTTTTCTCCCAGGCCTGTAGAGGTGTCCACATCCTCTTTCACTCTCAACTGCAACAAATAGGTCAGACCCAATATCAACAGCAACACTTGTTATTATACAGACACCATCATCAATGTTACTGGAAGTTTCAAAATCACTGAAAGAATTCTAGTAGGTTTTGCCAACTGCAAAAGTAATACTTCCAGTCAGCTTATAAATCATGATGACTGTTTCTCTTTGCCAAACTCTTCAAGGGATGTTGCATATGTGGTCAAGGACAGCATGTGAGAAGGACCCCTGAAAGGCTCAGGTGGTCGAGTTTGCCCTCGGGCCTTGGCGAGAGTCATGTGGACTGTTCCTAGGAAATAGTCATGTTTGAGTCACTGTAGCTACTCCAAGCTATCAGTCCAGCAACCATTTCACCAGGTTTGGCCTTTTTTTTAAGATAAGACTTGGAAACCCAGAAACGAAACATATTCCCCCTTAGAGTCTGTCCCACATTCTTCTTTGTGCCAGAGCTACTTTGAGTCCCCAAAGAGAAGTTGCTGATTCTCACAATACTGACCTTGGGTGGTGGAGCCGCGAAGAGACAGACTCCCAGGGCCGAGAGGGGGTTTCCCTTGGTGCAGCGGGATGAACTGAGTGGGTCTGTGTTGTTTGAGCAGGATACAGGACAGCCAGCGTCATCATCGCTCTGACTGATGGGGAACTGCATGAGGACCTCTTCTTCTATTCAGAGAGGGAGGTAAGCGACGGCCCGGGCCTACGGCTGACATGGAAACGGCGCTTTTTCCTTCTGAAATGGGCTGCAGTCTTTCCACTCGGGCAAAATGTTAAGTGTTCTTTGTAAAGTCCCTGGATGAAATAGTGTCCCATATGTGAAAGATAGTAACAATAACTCATTTTTAAAGTGAATCTTCACGTCTCACACCTGGTAGGTATTTTTCCCTTTTCCACAGATTTGCATATTACTCTGTTTTAAGGGACAAAATATATCTGCCACGCCTTTCTCGAAAGCAGTGTTGAAATACCATATATAACTTTTCAACAAATCCATTGGTACTATTTTTCCTTCATTTCTACTAAAACCAGGAGGGAAAAGAATTACTTGAAATATGCGAAAGCCAATTTTGTCAAAATGTATTAATCACTGAAATTCCTCCTCTAAGAACCAAAGCTGAACATTAATTGGGGAAAAGTAAATTGTAATCTCTCCTTCAGTATTTCTTTTTTCCTTTTCTTTACGCCCTTACAAAGCACTCCTTAAAGCAAGTGAAGGAATCCTCTCTAAATGAAAGCTTTCAGTTTATAAAGAGATTCAGAAAAAGAGGTTTATCTAAGAGTTGAAAAGTGATGTTTATATTTAGGAAATTCTTTTCTTTCAAATTTCACATTTGAGCTATATGTATATGTGGCCCCAGGAAACCAGTTCACCATAGGAATGTACTGAAGCCTCATTAGCGACAAAGGCTCATTCAGGCCAAGTTAGAAAGAAACACAATAAGGAAAAAGACAGGCAGTGATGGAGGGAGATGCCAGCCTCTGGAGGAGGAATCAATCAGAGAATTACACGTATCTCAAGGTCTTGACTACTATTTAATTTAAGTTCAGATTCCTCCTCAAGCAAGGAATTGATATGCATTCGTTCATTCATTCAGTGCTAACTGAGAGCTTGGCCTGTACGGGCACTTTGCTAGACACTAGAAACACAGTGGTGAGTAAGACACAGTTGCTGCCTTTATGGGCTTTACTGTGTAATACTGTTCACCTTTTTGAAGCCTCTGTTGGCAAAGGGCATGAGGAAATTAAGTGGATAAACGCATTACTGACCCCCTACCCTAACCTGTACAAAATTTACAAGGGGGAAACCCACAAGTAAATATGATAGAGGCTCCCTGAGCATCCAGGAAATAATATATTTCTATACTCTACAGTTGAAACTGACTGTATAATGGGAATGCAAAATGGCTTATTTGGATGCTAAACAACCATCAACTAAAGTAAAAACCCTAATAAGGAAATAACTGAATATAAAATAAATGATAGGTGTCAGAAGTTTAAAGTAAAGGTTAGTAGAAAAGAATTTTAGGTATGGCACACACAAACTTGGACAAATATTTGCAGTGCCAATGCCAATAGGACGAAGGTGTCTGAAAAAGAAAGATAAAGCTCAAGATATATAAAGAAAATGAGCCTTTCCATTTTTGATGTTTCTGTATAAAGCCCAATTAGAGGAGAAAAGCCATAGAAGTCGTTGCAGAGAAGGCTGGGGCTAGACTGTACCTAAAAGTTAATTTTATCCTGAAAGCAGCAAGAAATATTTCTAACATGAAGGAAAAAAAGATGTATGTTTCTGCCCCTTCTAAAATTCAGTGTTAGTCACAAGTGGGTTTGAGTACAAGAGAGGGGAAAAAGGGACGCGATTCAAATCAATATGCATATATTGAGCACCTACTGTATGTTTACTATCAATGATTTATTAAGTTTCTACTGTATATACCAAGGATTTCCAATTTTTGTTTTCTCTTCTGAAACGAAGAACCTGGAAGAGCCTGTAATAAATCAGATATTAAAATCAAGCCAAAATCTGGATATTATTCATTAGATTGCCCTCTCAATACTTACTTGTAGATAAAGTCGTGGGTTCACCCACTCAAATATGGACCTTAAATCCCATACCATTGACCCAGTATCTTCTTTGGGAATAAAAAAGGCCATATTCATGAAGGTGCTGACACTGACGAGTATCTGCATTGTTCTACGCTTCATGTGAGGAGCTCTGCATTTATTTTCTCATTTAATCTCCAAAGTACTTTACAGAGAAAAGCCAAGTGTCAAACCCAGGTATGTTGGATTCCAAAGGTCACATCCTTTCTGATAGAGCACGCTGCCATTACAAAGGAAGAACGTATGTCAATAAAAATCCATCAGAGGAATAGAAAAGATAATCATTTCCCCAGAATATTTAACATGACGTATCTTAGCCTGCGGTATCCTTTTCCTTCCCTCATCATTCAAAGCTTCTCATCAAGACTCTACTTCTGTGGATCTTCCTCAACACTTCCCATTAGACTAATCACTCCCCTCCCATCCACCATATTGCATTAGAATGTGATGTTCACTGGAGAATTGGCTCTTTGGGGACAGGGATTGCCCTCTCCCTTGTGGTACCTGGCATATAGTAGGTGCTCAGTAAATACCTGATCACTGCAGTTAGGCTGGGTGATCCAAAAGGAGTACATTTGCCACTGCTTCTCTCTCTAAATGTCTTTTCTTTCATTGGCCCAGGCTAACAGATCCCGAGATCTTGGTGCGATCGTTTACTGTGTGGGTGTGAAGGATTTCAATGAAACACAGGTATGAGCATGGATTTCCTCAGGTTTGGGAGCATACACAGCTTGTGAATGATAGAAAACATGCAGTCGGTGCAGAGGGTGCATCAGCAGCATAAATACCCATTAGATGGATGATTTTTCCAGAAATGCTAAGCAGGGAGGGAATTATTGGATGTGAACTTATTTGCTAATGTGCTTGAGGGTCTTCAATACAGACCATCCAGGCAGCATCTTTTTTGGTTGACTTTCTTAGTACATGTTAAATTGCCAGGAGGTCAAAATAGATCGAAATTAACTTGGAAAACTTGTTGGGTTTTTTTATTTTAATTTAATTTGATAAATCTGATTTTCTTACTTAAATGGCAAACATCCCTTTTTTCTCATTAAAGGTTCAATGCATTTCAATACCCCCCAAAATGGAAATAATTGGCCAGTGGGCAAAAAAAGTATGTCCAAGTGTTCACAATAAGCAAATTGTAAAAATGTGTCAGCAACCTAAATAGATGTTCTTCAATGTATTTCGTAGTTTCTTTTTGTTCTAATAACATTGACAAAGTTCAGGATATGTTGTTAAATGAATAAAATAGGGTTATAAAACAGTATGGGAATAGTATGAGTCTACTTTTTAAAATCAAATGTGTGTATTTGTATAGGAAAAGTCTGAAAAACTACATCAAATTAACAGTAATAGAAAGATGATGGATGGATGGATGGACAGATGAATTATTAATAACTTTTGTCTTTTTATTTTAACACTCCTGGTTTTTTGAAATTTCCCAATGATTGTGTATTACTTTTACAATCAGTAAAAATCCTGGCACTGACTGACTGTGGCAGTCACAGCACTAGACAGAGTTTGGGAGTAGAAAATCTCCGCAGATCAGTTTCTCCTTTCTCCAGTCCTCTGCTCCGTAAAGCAGCCAAACCAATCGCAAGGGTCCTTTCCTCAATGAGCAGTTTGGGTGAAAGGTAAGGGTCCCCATTCATTGGGCTCGCCCAACACCAAAGCTTGAATTTATTTTTAAAGTTGCTTTGAAAGGAAACTTGAGTCTGTTTGATTCGAATATAGTTGCCAACAGAAATGTGGTTGAATGGGAGAAAAAGAAGCCAATGGCCTGCCCCCAAATCCATAAATACATCAACCCAGGCCAAATGTTCATCTAGCTGGGCAATCTTACCGCTGATCCCAAGGAGACAAGTATTAAAACAAATGTAAAAGCTGGAACCGACCCTCCGGACCCGCTCCAGAGTAAGTCCCCTGGTAATCTCATTATGACTGAGGGCTTCTCAGTGAGATCCCTGAGCCCAGGCAAGCCCTCAAGTTCCTATGGGTTTTAAAAGGAGATGGAGGCCGCTGGACCCAGTGGCTTTCCTCAGTTCTCCACGTGCAAGCCTGACACATATCCTTGTGTGTTTGCTGTGTCCTCAGCTGGCCCGGATCGCAGACAGTAAGGATCACGTGTTTCCGGTAAATGATGGCTTCCAGGCCCTGCAAGGCATCATACACTCAGTGAGTAGAGAATTCCTCTGAGAATGGATACCCGGGCACTTTCTGCCCCCTGACCTGCTGTAGATACCCCAATTCCATCTCACTAAGGCTGGTGTTCTACATTTCTTTGTATATCTTTATATCTGTCGTGTTCCACGTCTCCATCCTGCCGTTCACACGTTTCTTTTCTCATTCTCCTGTGCCAGTTCTTTGCCCTACAATGGAAAATTAAAAATGGAAAGGAAACTTGCTCTGGCAGCGAGCCAAACTTCAGGCAGTTCTCATACTGGAAGGACTGCAGCTGATGCTGTGCACTTGACCGACCTCAGCTTTCCCAACCGTGACTGAATGCAAGCTGCTTTCTGAACATTGCAGGCTCAGCCTATATCACTTGGCCATCAGAGGCACTTTCGACCAGTGGTTTTCTATCTTGGCTGCCCATTGATGATTATCTGAACAGGATTTTTAAGATCTTCCCAGGTGATTTTAATGGAACCACTGCTTTAGATCTATAATCCCCAAATAGGAAGGTTTCTTTTTTTTTATATTAAACTTTTATTCATTTAACGAATGGAACTTACCTGGAGTCACAACACAGATTCTTTTTTTTTTCTTTTTTTTCTTTTTCTTTTTTTTGTGGCCCATTGGTTTTTGGTTTTTTGGTGTTTTTTTTTTTTGCAGTTCACGGGCCTCTCACTGTTGTGGCCTCTCCCGTTGCGGAGCAACAGTCTCCGGACGCGCAGGCTCAGCGGCCATGGCTCACGGGCCCAGCCGCTCTGCGGCATGTGGGATCCTCCCAGACCGGGGCACAAACCCGTGTCCCCCGCATCGGCAGGCGGACTCTCAACCACTGCGCCACCAGGGAAGCCCGGTGTTTTTTTTTTTTTAATAGTTGATTTACGATGTTGTGTTAGTTTCAGGTGTACAGCAAAGTGATTCAGTTACACACATACGTGCACACAACACACACACACACATATATTCTTTTTCAGATTCTCAGATTCTTTTCCCTTGTAGGTTATTATAAGGTATTGAGTATAGTTCCCTGTGCTATACAGTAGGTCCTTGTTGGTTATCTATTTTATGTATAGTAGTGTGTATCTGCTAATCCCAAACTCCTAATTTATACCTTCCCCTGCTTTCCTCTTTGGTAACCAAAAGTTTGTTTTCTATGTCTGTGGGTCTATTTCTGTTTTGTAAATAAGTTCATTTATATCATTTTTTTAGATTCCACATTTAAGCGGTATCATATGATATTTGTCTTTGTCTGGCTTACTTCGCTTAGTATGATCATCTCTAGATCCATCCATGTTGCTGCAGATCTGGCATTTTTTCATTCTTTTTCATGGCTGAGTGATATTTCACCCTCATTGTAAAATATGAGGGTTTCAATGTTCCCCAGAGTTTTCACCATCACCAGCCCTCCTTTTCATCCCATCCTGGTTTTTTATCATCCCTTTCCGATCAGTGAACAGGACCTGGCTTCCTGGGCCTCTCTTTTCTACCATCCATCCCCAGGCTAGGCCCTTGGTCCAGCTGGAATATTGGAGGATGCGAGTCTTTGAAGCCTCAGCCAGAAGGCCCGTGTGTGTGCTGCTCCTGTAATAAAGTCCAGGGTTGCTGAAGCCTCCATCTTTAGGTTTGGGGACCAGGCAGACAGACAGCGGTTTCTCCAGCTGGAGCTCACGAGGCTTCAGACTTGGGGTCCAGGATGCAGATTCAGCGCTCAGAGGATCACTGTCCTCTTAAGATGTCAGTGGGGTCTTAAGCCAGGTTTACCCATCAGGAGCTTGGGATCTGCCCAGCTCCCGCAGACTGACCTAAGAAACCTCCAACCTGGATGTGCCTCATGCTCCCTCCCCCTCCCTCCACGGTTTGCTTAGAACCCCAGCAGAGTGGAAAGCAGAGTGAGAAGTAGGAACTTTGGAGCTGGTCAGCCCAGAGTTGAAAGGCTGACCCAACAGCTTACCATTTATAGATCCTTAGATGAGGTATTTCGCTTAGTTCCATATTTGTATAAGGGATTAATGATAAGACACATGTCGTAGGCTTGTTTGAGGATTACAAGAGATAACACTAGTGAAAATACCTAATATTTTTCCAGGTACATAATCAGTCCTCAAGACATATGAATTATTTCCTCTTCCATGTCCCTTCACCATCATATGAGAAACCTTGGTGTCAGCTTCCCTCCTCACCCTCTAAATTTTCTTGCATATGCATAAAAATCACCTGGAGAATCTTGTTTGCAATACCCATTCCCAGGCCCTATCCCCAGGAGCTTCTATCACAGTCAGTATGTGATGGAGCCTATGAAACTGCATCTTTTAAATCTGCACGTTTTAATCAGTGCCCCAGGTGTTGTACTTTCACAATATTATATATGTGACCTTACATTTTCAGAACTGTGAAAAATAATTCCACCCCAAGTTGGGAGTTCCTATCCTAAATATGTCCACGTGACAGTCATCTTCTTTAAGATGTGTTTGCAAGGAACAGAAACACACTGAAACCACCTTAACCAGAAAGTGAAAATTATTGAAAGGATAGAGAAATTATCAGTGCCAATTACGGATCCCCAGGTGAGGGACCCCTACTGTAAATAAGTTCTGGGGTCAGTGTGGTATACTTGACAGTATAAGTGACAAGAAATGTAATAACCAGGTAAAACAACACCCAAATAGTGATTTAGATAGACAGTTAACAGCAGGATTTGGGCCTGATCGTGAATCCTGTGGCAGCTCAGAGGTGGACTGTTCTGGACTGGAGCCTTCGTGAGAAACTGGGGTAGAGGATGGGTGATGGGTGGCACCAGAGAAGAGATGGCATGACCTCAGCCCAAAGTCTGGAAAAGAGCAAGCATATTTTTAAGACAATAATAATACCTATCTGTCTAGTGGGAGAGTTTGGATAAAGGAGTCAGGAGTAATGGGAAATAAGCCGAGACATTGGGTTAGAAGCAGATTGATGGGAGCCTTGAAGGAACTTTGACTCCAAATTAGTGTAATCACTGAAACATTTTGAACGTCTAACAAGTAATATTTAAGAAGAGAATCTGATGGCAGTGTCCCTATATATAGAAAGGAGACTGGGGAGGCCCAGAGGCAGGAACCCAGGCATGAGGCTACTGCAGGAGTCCTTTCTTCAGATGGCTGGGTTTGAACAGGGACAACTCTTACCTGTTCAAAGGTTCTTATGAGCCATGTGCCACATCATTCAACAGTTGATTCCTACCCAAATAATTTGAGTATTTTTTATCTGCATAAATTGTTGTTGTCCTTGAATATTTCAACCTTAGGAACTCACCCAAGCTCAACATGAGCCCAGATGTTTGTAAAACTCTCCCTACCCCCAGTGGAAATCACCCCAAAGATGTTTAAGAAATTTTAGTGAAACAGTCTTCCAAAAGGGGGAAAAAATAATTTGAGACTCCAAACTTTTAGCCAAATGATAGCATTCTTGTGAGCTTTTATCTGGGATTTATGCTAGTGGTTTCCATCCTTCCAATACTTGAAACCCATGTTTATCGCAGTTGTTAATTCATTTGCCTGGACAGAAAAACAGGGACAAGCACAGCACAACTCGTCTTTCTCGACTCAGACAGAAATAATTATGGCCTGAAAGTTGGTTAACTAATTTTAAGAAGTAGGTTCATTTCTCCTTCTGGATACTGAAAAGAAAGTTGTTTCCTCCCCCCTCCCCAACCCCCTGCCATCTAAAGCATCTCTTCCAGCTTTTTCCCATGGATGTTGTTTTGTGGCTGGTTATTTTCTCATAATAAAGTAGGACTGGGCTTAATTATCCAAAATAGGAGTGCAGAGCAGCTTTCAAGAGCTCACATAGTTCATGAAGTTTTAGACCCATGGTGACCTTCTTTTATTATTGAGGTGTAGTTGATCTGCAATATAAGTTTCAGCTATACAGCATAATGATTCAATATTTTTATAGATTATACTCCATTTAAGGTTATAAATTATTTGCTATATTTCCTGTGCTGTACAATATATCCCTGTAGCTTATTTATTTTATACATGGTAGTTGTACCTCTTAGTAGTGACCTTATTTTTAAATCCCCAATCAAGATGCAGGGGCTAATATTTATTCATTCCTCTAATACTCATTGAAAACGTTTTATGGTAGACTCTGACCATTTGGTTATAAGTAAGCAGGTAGACACCCTATCCTGGTGGAGCTTATAGTCTGGTGGGAGGGACACATAAAAACAAGTCAATAAATAAATATGTATAATGATGTGATACCATGTGACACATGGTATATAAGAAGTAACATATGACTGAGATTATGACTCTGCTCCTGTGCAGAGATAAGCTGAAGGCGAAACAGAGTTGTTCCTCGAAAGAGCATGGATTCAACATTCTTGTCAGACCAGAAGCCTAAGATGGTATATAACAGAGTGAAAGAAGAGTAGGGCTTGGGTGGAAAATGACAGAAGATGAAGGAAGCAGCAAGCAACGGCTAAATCATGAGGAGCCTTGAAAACTATGCTATTTTACTGTAAGGGCAGTGGGCAAACATAGCCATATACAAAGTCTGACAATGGAACAATCATGCTTGCAATCAAGCCTCTCAGGGAATCTAGAGATCATGGCGCTTTATCCAGCTCCCCTTTGGATAATGAATAAATAAACACTCAGGACAAGTAGTCATGAGGCCTGTGAAGAAGAAGAAACATTACTATGATTTACTGAGCATCTTCTTTCTACCAGCTCCTCTGTTAAGCATTTCCACAACCAGTCTCTGAAGAGGCCCTTATTATCCCCATTTTACAGGTGAGGAAACTGAGGTGCAGGCAGTTAGATAAACTGCCCCAAGTCTGCCCACTCATAATGGTGGAGGAGGGAAGTCTGGGTCCAGAGAGCCTGCTGTTTCCACAATACTGGGCTGTGAATGTCTGAGGAAGTGGAAAATCACCATTGGATTATCAGAAGCTGATTATTCAAGGCATGGATACATCAAGTCCCCAGATTCTCTGCTTCCTCAATCTGATTCCTATGTTTTGG